TTTCTTGTACACAACCAAGCCCTACACATAATACAATACGTATGTAATTTATAATGCCTATCCTGCGATAGCTAATCAAGAACTAGGACTCACCGGTTAGTACGCCCGCCGCTTATTAAGCCCAACTTGATCTGGGCGCGAGGTGGGCTTAATAACCGGCGACTACTGTATTAATCCACTTCGATTATTTACTTCTGCTCCCCCCTACGCCTGTCGACGATTTAGGCACTAGCTCTGGTGCTAAGTTGGGGGGAGGCAAATAAGGTGTGACAGTCTTGATGCCGTCTCACCTCCGGGGGTGCGGAAGGGAGGAGGGATAAAGGCAGATACAAAGCCCTCCACAATGATCTAGCTCAATTATTTATCCGGATCTGCATGCACCCATGTCATAGGGGGCACGGTAAAATCCGATGGGCGTGCAAGCGACAAAATAGGTCATTCCTAGCATCGAATCCGTCCAGGGCTAGTTGAAACAACACCCAGCTCTCACTTACGGTTCCCGGAAGCCAGACTCCGCCAGTACGAATACTGCCCTTTTACCACTATAACTTCTACCATGAAAGCAAGTACTGCTGCGACCCAACAAGTCCTCTCCGCTCTACCTGAATGTCACAAAACGTCCTGCAGCAAAGAACGCCATGGTGTCATGTAGGCGGTTTCGGTCATATGGACAGGCCGCTTAGGTGAATTGTCTCACACTAGCAGCCGAGAATGTACGTTTCGTCTTAGATAGTTTTGTAAACAGCTGACCAGAACGGAGAACTGCGCAAATCGCCCGGGAGTTGGCACGCTTCAAGGTGGACATCGCCGCACTCACGGAAACTCGCTTCACACATGCCTTATCACTCAGATATTAATACAGTATAGGAAACTCCATGATATCATGCCTAGCTACTTCTGGACCAGGCTGTCAAGCCTATTAACAGGGGATCTGCCGATTAGGCTTTCTGGATGTCTTAAGAAGATAGTCCCATAGTCCCTAAATACGGAAATCTAAACAAAGCCATAGAATCTCATCATGTATTCCGGGAGATTTAATCGGGCACACCCGCGCACCTGCAAAACCGGTAGCCATTGGTTATCCAAAAACAAATCATGGCAAAAGCCGCTTATAAACTGGGTTGTCAGTTATTCAGCGGCTGCATCGCCATGAGAACCTCCAGACTGCGGTAATGAAGGCGACTGCCGGCGAAAAATCCGCCTGTATCTGCTGGTCTCCGTTCCCCGTACACAGAAGATGAAGAAGCTGGTGAGCTGTTGTTCCCATCTGTTATGCTTATTGTAAACACAAGATGTACGGCTTATTACAAACTATTGATACAGTTATAGGAAATACCAGGTAGTATCAGTACTACTATTATTCAGTAGCATTGCTGTTAAATAGTAGCAGTGGTAATAGTAGTAGTAGTAGCTGTATTAGTAGCACGGCACTTGTTATTGGGCTGATGCTGTTGCAAATCTGGGACGGAGTTCGATAAGGAAGAGGGCACAGATGTCCGGAAGTGGTCATAGCCAAGCAATGAGACCGAGGTCAGAAGTTTCTTTAGCCTCATTTCCTACTATAAGAAGCTCACTAAGTACTTTATCCATATAGCCACACCCAAAAACAAGCTTATCAAAAATGTGAACAGTAGCAGTACTAGTAGCAGAGCACTTATTATTGGACTGCTTCTATTGCACTGGAGTTACAATATAATTCTGTTGCCATTAATAAGTATGATTACTAGTAGTAGCAGTCTTAACACTGACGTATTACTTATAGCAGCAGTAGCCTAGTCCTCGTAGTCCTTGCTTAGGAGAAAGTGACATGCACTTTGGTGGATATAGGTGAGAGCGCGGAAATCAAATCAAGCCATGGTATGCTGAAGGGGCATGAGCCCAGCGCTGACTTGAGGCAGCATCACCTCTGACTTATATTAAAATCTGTAATAGTATCACCATTCAATTGCATCGCTAGTTATTAGCAGTAGAAATAGTAGTAGTACTAGTAATAGTAGCCGCAGCAAACATAGCAGGCTCGGTCTTAATGGGTCTGTTTTGACAGCGGCCGAAGTTGAGTGAGGGAAGATATTGCAGTAGCAACAGCGCAAATGTCAGCTATCACTTTAGACTAAATCACGCGGTGTTCTGCCATGCATTGGAGAAAGCGGCCAACGCCTGATCCCATTTGGTCTTCTTCACTCGGGATGGAGGTTTGTCCAGTCACTCTCCCTGCACCAAGCTGTTTGGAGCATCTGATAAACTTCATTGAAACCGATGGGCGAACAACCAGACCCCGCATTCAATCTTCTGCCGTTTATCGGGGCTTTGCGTGATTACTAGAGCACTACGAGAGTATATTACTTAGAGTTAACGCTATACGCGCGTTGCCTATCCGTGCCATCAATTTAA